GAAGTGAATATTCATTAGATTTTTCAATAATTCTTGTAAATATGAAGAAATATTAAAAATTATTTATATTGTATAAAATTTTTTGAACAAAAATAATCAAAAAACAATTATAGCAAATTACTTTCTAATTTGAATAATTTACCATAATTGTTTTTAATTGTATATAGAAATGTTCTATTACCATTTCTATTGTTCTTTCATCAAAAATATAATTCTTCAAGTGTTTGGTATTCCTTTAATTTTTCATTAATATTGATAATTTAAATAATAATAATCAAATCAAAACAAATAAAAAGTAGATAATTAAATGTTAATAATTTTGTAATGTTCATTATTCAATGTAGATTAATTGTTTTAACATTGTATTTTCATTATTTATTATTTTATTCTTTGATTTTAGTTGTTGAATTATGATAATTTCATTTTATCATTTATTTGATATGGAATAGAGTATTTTAAATATCAATTATTTAAATATTAATTATTTAATTTCTATTTAATTTTGATGGGTTTAAAATTCTTCTTTATTTTCTTATTTTAAGGAGAATATATAATTACTACTGTATTACTATGAGTTAATATTCTTTTTAGAATCAACCATTAAACCCTTTTTCTTTGATAATCTTATATTATCAAATGTACTTGTATCATAACAAGTAATAATGTCATCTTTATAAATACACATTCGTTTATTGTCAATGATATCACATGATTGTAAATAATAAACACTGTTATTCTTGTAGTATTGATTATGATGTTTTTCAACTAAATACAATATTATAATCAGTCAGTAATTGGTTGATTTGAAGGATGAAAATATTTTAGTGTTCTGTGTGGTGTCTCTGACGTGCTACCTTCGAATCAATAATGAATAAAATAACAACAAAATGAAATAATTAATAATTATAATTTATTAAAAATAAAAATAAATAACATTTTATTTTATTTCTTATTATTTATTGTTTTTCATAACAAATATCAATTAATAAAAATAGAATGATGATAAAGAATAAAAAAGAAGAAATTAAAATATAAAAATAAAAGAACTAATAAATTAAGAACTAATAAATAATAAATCAATAATGAAATTAGGATATAATGAAATAATGATAACATCAATGTATTTTAATGATATTAAAGATTTTATTAATTTAGAAATAGGAATTAAAAGATTTCAAGGAAATATTGAACGATTTCATTTTAATCCAATTCCTTTAAATAAATATTCAAGAAAATTGTTTACTAATATTGAAACATTTCATATTTATAATAAAGATGATGAAATATTTAATGATGGAAAAATATTTAAATATGTAATATGGTATAAAGTACGTTATTCAACATATTTAAAAGAAAAAGAACAAGGAAATATCTGTAAAAATATAGAATATACAAAAGAAGATAGAAATAAATATGGGAATACAATACCATCAGAAGTTAAATCACTTGGATATGAATGTTTTAATAATTGTGATTCATTAACATCAATTGATATACCAGCATCTGTTAGTGAAATAGGAGATGGATGTTTTAATGGATGTTCATCATTAAAATCAATTAATATTCCATCATCAATTAATGAATTAGGGTATAGTTGTTTTAAAAGATGTTCATCATTAACATTAATTGATATACCAACGTCAATTAGTAAAATAGGATATGAATGTTTTAGAGAATGTTATTCATTAAAATCAATTAATATACCTTCATCAATTAATGAAATAGGATTTTATTGTTTTAGTTATTGTTCATCCTTAACATCAATTAATATACCATCTTCAATTATATCATTTGGATGGGGATGTTTTTCTGAATGTGGGTGTAAAGAAGAATTAATGAAAAATAAAAGAATACCAAGAAAATGTTTTGATAAATGGTATTGAATGAAATAAAAATATAATAAATGAAATACAATATAATTTGAAGTAGAAACAAATTATAATTGATTATCATTTATATTATTATTATTCTTTTCTTATTTATTCTTTTTGATATTATTCTTTTTTATTGTGTTAAAATATTTATTATTATTTATTGTATATGTTTATTATTTCTTATATCTTCTATTTTATCTTATTTATTTATTATCTTTTATATCTTTATTATTATTTTATTATTGTTTATATTCTTATATTCTATATTTTAACTTATGATTTTCTATTATTAAATATAAATTAAATGAATTTGATATTATAGATAAATAAATATCAATTTTATTAATCTATTTGTATTTATATAATATAAATATCAATAAAAATAAATTATAAGTTAAATTAAATGAAATATGAATATGAATAATATTAATAAGAAATGAAATAATTAAATAATAAGAATATATTTAAAATATAAATATCAAATACATGAATAAAATAAATAATAAAATATAAATCAAAATAAATAAATAAAATAATGAATAATAATCAAATATTAAAACATGAATATGTATGTAAACAAATATATAAACATATATTAATTACATATTTTATTAAATTTAATGAAAATTGATTTTAATATATATCATAAATGTATATTAATATTAATATATTCTTATATTAAATTATTGATTTATTTATTAAAATATAAATAAATGAATAGAATTAATATTTATATTATATTTTATATCATAATATGTTGATTAAAAAATAAATAAGTATTTTATAAATGAATATATTTCATTTAATTATTTTATTATTATTTCTTATTATCGAATTTTATAATTTCTTATTATTTCTTTTTATATTATTATTATTCTCATTTGATGTATTATTATTGAATTAAATCAATAGAATAAAATGATAATGATGAATAATGATAATAAAATGATAATAAATAATAATAATAGATAATGAAAAACATAAGAATATAAAAGAATTATATTTAATGATAAATAAGAAGAATGAAAATAATATAGAAAAGAAATAATAAAATATAAAATGATTTTGTAATTAATTTTAAATTAATATTCAATAAAAATGAATAAGAAGAGAGAATAAATAAAGAAAAGATAATAAAGAAATATAAATGATTATAAAAAGAAAATAAATATATGAAGAAAGAGAATAAGAAATAATAACAATGAATTGTTAAATAATATAATAGTTAACAATATGTAATTATTAATTATTAATTTCTTATTTCTATTATTATAATCAAAATTAAATAATATAGAATGTAAATAAATGATAAATGATAATAATATGAACATAAATAATAGAATAAAAATAGAAATAAAGAATATAAAAGAATATAAATAAGTTTAAAAAAGAGATAATAGAATTAAATAATAAAATAAATGATAAATGAAGAATTTAACTAATTTATTATTCATATTTCATTATAAAATAAATATAATAATAAAAACAAATGATTTATTTATTATAATAAAATGAAGTTGATAAATTAAATTTTAGTTGAATATTTTTATTTTTTGAAAATAAACAAAAAAGAATAATAGATAATAAAAATAAATAAGAAAAAGAAGAGAGTACAATAGAATTTAATTCAATAAAAATAAATCATGAAATGAAATTATATAAATAAAATAAAATAATATTTATATTGATAAAATGATAAATAATATTGATAATAAGAAAAACATAATGAATAAATAAAAATAAACATAAATAACATTATATTAACATTATTATCATTTTATATAATGATTAAAATGATAAATTAAAATAAATTAAAGAAAATAAGAATAAAATAAGAAAAATGAAAATATATAAAAATGAATACAAAGAATAGATGAATATAAAATAACAGAATGAAATGATTGAATTAATGAATATTGTTTTAAAGATATTCATCATTATAAATAAATTATTAAATAATGAAATATGAGAAGAATGAAATAATGAATATTCAATATTGAAATCAAATAACATATCATAACAATCAAATGAATATAAAATAAATAATTTAATTGATATTTCATTAACATGTATGAATATCAAATATATCAAAATTGATAATAAAAATAAAACAAATATGAATAAACAAATAATATCAATATTAAAATATCAGAAAATAACAATGTAAATAATAGAAAGAAGAAAAGAGATATAATGATAATATTGATCATCAATACAATAAATTGAATATGATAATTTAATATATGTGTTTAATATAATCAATTAATATACCATCATCAATTAATAAATAAGAGATATTTCATTAAATGTACAATATTAACAAATATTAATATCATAATAACAATTAGTAAAATACTAATAATACTAATTAAATATAAATGAGATGATTTAATTGATGTATATCATTAATATCAAATGATATACAAACAAGAATAAGAAATATTTGAAATGTTTTAATCAATATTCAAAAGAAAGAAAAAAGAATAAAATAATAAGAAAAAGAATAAAAAATCATCAATTTTAACATTAATAAAATCATAAAACAATAATCAACAACAAATTATATGATAAATAGAAATCAATGAAATCATAAATAATATAAATAAATATGAATAAGAAATAATAATAAATGAATAACATAAAATAATTAATAATTTAAAATTAAAAATGAATATAAATATAAAATCAAAGATAATAAAATAAATAAAAAGTAAAAATGAATAAATAAATTTATTATATAATTAATTATAAAACAACAATCAATAACAAACTAATACATAAATAACAATAAATTATTAACAAATAAATTATATTTGAAATAATGAATGATGTTTGATTTAAATTAAGAATAAAAAACATAAAAATATACCAAATGTAATGTTAATGAAAATGAAAATAAAGAAGAAAAAAGATGAATTAAATGAAATTTATAATAAAATAATAATATTTCATTACAATAATTTAATGATAATAAATAATAAATAAAGGAAATAAAAGATAGATGAGTATTTAAACACAAACTAAGAAAGATATATTCATTAAAATGCTCAATTTGTTTCTTCTATTTATTACTTTTTCATTATCAAAACAATGTAATGAATACAATCAAGGATATGAAATAGATACAGTAGATAGTGCATTTGAATGTATTGAATCAATTGAAACAACAGAAGAAGAAAATAATGATATTATCACAGGATTAAAATATTATTTAGAAGCATATGTATTTAAAGATATATTAAAGAATCCACCACAACCATCATTTTCAAATAATTATTATGAAAAAGTGGATATTGATGAACAACTAAATAAAATAAATACA